CAATATGAAAAAGAAAACGAAAAGATAAGACTTCACTAATAGATTTTTCCCTAAAAGTCTTATTGGAAAATAAAATAACTTAATGAAATATAAGATTAAAAATGAACTTACGAAGTTTTTCATAAGCTTCATTTCCATATAATGCATGATACAGCATTTTTTCACCACCAACAACAAATTCAGGAACTTGATAGACTGAAACAGTAGGATCATAAGCTCGATAGGGATTCATCGTAGTGCTAGTGGCCATGGGGCTTGTTTTCTTATTTGTGCGTATGAATGCAATAGATAATCAAGTGATTATTCTTCTTTTTTTTTCTTTTTTGCCAGTAGGTAACTACACTCGTGTGTGTGTGTATGTGTATATATATATATATATATACGAACGATCGATGTTGTTGATGATTTCAGAATAAGAAGAGGAAAAAACAATGCATAATAATTTTTCTCGGCTGTCTCTCCGCCTCCCTCTCTCTCTCTCTCTTCCTCTCTCTCTCTTTCTCTTTTGCCGATGATGATGAGGATGTGAGCAAGGGAGCTAACACGTATTTATATATTTATGCATAAAAAGAAAGAGGCGACTGCTGTTATTATTACTGCTGCTGTTACTGCTGCTATTCTTCCTCGCATCCTCATCATCATCACATGTTTGCTTTATGTGTAATTGACTCTTTTTTTTTCTCTATTTTTTCTTATAGGTTTTGAAAAAAACACAAAAACATTTTATGCCTCTAACTAATGCAGAATTTTTTTTACATTAGAAAAAGAAAACTTTAGACATAACAACCTTCAATTAAAAGAAAAAGTACAATAGAACAAAATGACTAAAAAAAAAAGAAATTCTTGGCATATTTCTTAGTAAAAATATTGTTGCCGTCAAATGACGGTCAAAATCAAACACTGTGTGTGGGCGTTTATATAAAGAAAAATCTTTGTTTTTTTTTTTTGACAAAAATAAACGATTAAAGGGTGCATTATCAATCGGATTTTATTGACAACAAATCGAGATAATTATCTTTTTTTATAGATGGTTTTTAGAGCAATACAACGAAATGATCTTGTTTTTTTCTTCTAATTATTCATAAGATTAGATTATATATATATATCGACATATGTAATCACCTCACCGCAAAGATTTCAAAAGGCACCGATCGTGGTGCAATAATAAAATGAGAACTAAAAAGATATCGCTTACCTACCAATCTACAATACTTAAAGATGATTGACCGTGTCTAAAGCACGTATGTCTTTCTTATTTAATGGCGTTGTCGCGCTTTATGTCTTGTGTAAGATGTACAAAATCGTTTGTCTTCGCATCTTTTACTAACAAAATTGTTGATAAGACAAAGCGAAAGAAAGAGTTCTTGATTCACATAACTAATCCCGTTTGGTAAGGGTGACGATTGATAAGACAATAGTAAATACTAAGATAAAGATGAACTCGAAATAGAATGAAGAAAATGAAACAGTTCAATTACTATTGACAATACTAAGGCAGTGATATTTCAACTCATCATTGTCTTAATGAGTTACAAAGATTTCTATTTAATCTTTCGAAAAATTGACAAATACTCGATAAAAGATTAGTTCAATTCATTTTGTATAACAAGAATATTACTATTAGTGTTTTTCTTTTTTAGTTTTTTTTTAAATCGATTTTCATACAGAATATAAGCTTACAATTATCAAACAATATTTTAACAAAAAAATATCTTTTCATTAGTATTCAAATAGAAGTGTTCAATATAAAAAAAAAAAAAGTTGATAATCAGTATTAAGAATATTCAATGATTGTATCGTTTTTACAAATTTGCATTTCGATGCCAATTTGAATATTTCATGTACTATGAAAGAATATATGCCGTTGGTTAAACATGAGCTATTTACAAAGATTCAATCAACTGTTCTAATCGAATTTGACAATAGACTTACTGATTGAATAATATAGTAACGAGAATGAACACGCACTCATAAGTGCTTGACGTATAAAAAAAGAATTGTACTCATGATTAATAGTACTAATCGATATCATTTATCAGTAATTAGAGAAATCGGTGTGCCATTGAATAAGTTAGTCGAAGAAAAAGAAATTTTCTTGATTTTTTTTTTATTATTATTATAATAAAGAGAGCAATGCATTTTGTTTATCTAAAGTCAAGATATAATCCAATATTGTGAATAATCATTTGAATTCGATGCATTTTGGAATCTTCTTCAATCTATCTAACTTTAAAATATGTGTTTGTTTGAGTATTCATTATACTTAAGATTTGTCGACAATATTTATCAAACATTATTTTTTCATTATTATTATTTGTTCTTGCCAATTCACGACATCGAATAAAAATTTTAATAAAGGGAATTTTTACTGAATCTGGCCACCAATAATAAATAAATTTTTGAAACAATGATTTATCTAATCGGGTACAATATATACCAAGATAAATAAATTTAATAATAGGTGTTATTGCTAATAAACGTTCAAAATAATCTGATCTCATACTTCGACGTAACCAAAAAAGTTTAATTTTTCTAAGTTTTGAAAAAGTAAAAAATGAATCTAAATAATAATTAACATGATCATTTTCAATTTCAAGTCTTTTTAATTTTGGCATATGAGATAAAAGTATATTCATAATTAGTTGATTTGAATTATCTTTAAATTTAACATAAAGTATTTCAATATTACTATTTATATTTAAGCATTCAGTAATATTTGATATTGATCACCAAAAATATAACCGACATTTACAAAGTTTAGGTGAAGAAAGTATAGCTTCAATTAATACTTGATTTGATATACATCTCAATGAAAGATATTCAATTGGATGATATTTTAAAAAATCTATACAACTAGGCCATATTTCTCGTTCATATATTTCAATTGTTAAAGATTTTAATCGAATAAGTTCTTTACCATGTAGATTAAGAAATTGAGAAATATATTTTCTGTGTTTTTTAGTTGATAATTTTAAAGAAATTATACGATTTAATATTGTAGTAGACCAAGAAGAGAAAATAGTCTGTTCTTTCTAAAATATATCATCTTTTCTCAATTGAATATAGAATAAAAGATGATTGGAAGCAAGTATACGATTAAAATAATTATTTAAATTAGTAAAAACTCGAAAAAGATCATGTATTTCGATGTAACGAAATATTAGAACCTATAATTCAATTGGTAAGTGTTCGGCATACGTCTTCATTCTTTTCTGTATTTAATCACCGTTGAATTGGTTTTTTTCTAAAATATTCTGGTAAAATGTAAAATAAAATCATTCATCGAGTGATAAAATGTTAGGAAAAAAACAAACAAACAATGACACTACCATATTTTATCAATTTTATTTTCATTTCAATAATTAAATGAAAACTATATAAAAAACGTATCTTTTTATCAATACTTTTTTGTAATTTCAATTGTAGTATCGACTATAACAGAAGTTCTTGTATTTTTCTCTGTTTATTTAATCTTAAAATTATTATTATCATCGTCGTTTTTATCAACCAACGTTATTCTACAATGCATCTTTCTTATGCAAGAATTTCTGGGCGTAGATTCAGTATCATATCCAGCTATGAATTATTGGACAAATGCTCACGACTCGAAAAGTTATTGCCTATGAACTTTTTTGAAAAAGTGACCATTCCTCAAAACAGGTGCTGACTGATAAATTACTTATAAATAAAAAATTCCTGACTATACCACCGATTATATCACTTGATAATGGTATTTATATGTTTAATATTTTGAAAAAGATTAACCCTTAATTTATCATATGTGGATCAAAAAGAGTATGATTTAACTCTCAAAATAAATAGCAATATAAAATTATTTGAGAATAAATAACATTGTAAGTAAATATTCGAAAGATAGTACAATATAAATTGTCATCATTTCTCCTTTCAAATTAACAGTTCGTAATTATCGAAGAATAAGTTCTAACTACTGATGTCACCAAGGATAAGCTAGGTCAAACATTATTCTATCATCAAAAAGAAGCAAAACATAATAACTACCATTAGTGACTATATTGCATGAATTTCTCTCAAGCTTGTAGGATAATACTTGTGAAAGGATATAAACCCCATAGGTGATTAACTTTGAAGATCGAAGAAGATAATTACCTGATCGAATCTTGTTTATTGCGAAGTAACGCTCTATATATAGAGATGAGCACAGTGAAAATTTTCATGATGATAAGCAAGTATGATGAGATGAAAAGAAGCAATTCAAGCGACAAGAAGAGCAGAATAGCGAAAACCACGTAAATCATGAAGGTGCGAATAGAAAAATAAAAATCCATGTGACAAGTAGAAGAAAAGAGAGAGAGAACGCATTGTAAGAGAAAGAGGCAATGGGATAGGAACATCACATGATGGATCTTGATCACTCCAGAAGATTGTTCTGCCACTCATAATCTCTTGATCACGTCTCTAGTCCTGACACCATGAATTCGATTCTATTGGTAAATATATGGTTAGTTTGTTATTAGTTTACATATACAAAATGTACGTAAAAAAATACGGTCAATTAATATTGTTGTTATTTCATATACTATTGATGAAGTTGTTGAAATACTTGACAAAGATTGTTATTGATTTTTTTCTTTCAACCATATCTATTTGACTTATCAACAAATGTTATCAAATTACTTTGTAAATATTATTACGAAAATATTCAGGAATATATTCATATCCATGTTTAGTAGTCGATGCGAGATGAAGGATATGTTGAGGGATTTTATTAAGCCATAATGATGGAGTAGATTTTTCAATTGAAAATTAAATGAAAAATGATGAAAAAAAATCTAATCAGTGAAAATAATTATTTACATTTGTAAAACAATGAGAAATATCTTTTATGTAGTCAAATAAGATATGATTAACCCTAATATTACCACCTATGAAATAGTAGTCTGGTCCTCATCTGAAGTCCATACGAACCTCAGTTTAATTATCAAATAGATGTAGCTGAAATTATCTTTGGATAGTATACTAATTGTAAGAATCCTATACAACAAAACTCAAGAGGAGAACAATTTATCTAAGTACGGTTTATTAATCTTTCTTTTTCTCATTATCTTATCGTTCTTTTCTCATATTCTTAAAATGTTTCCCAGCATGAATCAAAAATGGTTTTGTGCTGATTTGGACAACAAGAAATACGACAACTAATACTATGAGTATCAACTTTCCTTATCGCGCCCAAATTGAAATATTAACACAGAAACATGAAATGAGTTCTATATGCTGCGTTCCAGGTGAATCCCAAGTGATGAAAAAATATTTATATGTACTTTGAGCTGCTATATTATATTAACAGTGCTTGAATTGTATCAATGGATGTCATCGATATATCCTACATATTCTTTGAAATAAACTATTCTATAAAAGTGACTTATTTTTTAATATGTTCTCCTTCCTGGAAGATTTAATAAAAAATTAATTTTTTTTTCTTTCTCAATAAAAATAAAAATCCTGCATTTGTCATACTAAATTTGACGTTGAATATCAAATTTATTATATAATAAATTATGAAATGTCAATAGCAAATGTCATTGGTTTGTTGGCATATTTTTTTGACTATAAATGATAAAAGAAAAAGATATCAACAATAGAAAGGTTAATAAATGTTTAGTTGATGTCTAATTTATGACCAAGAAAGAGATCATTAACCATGTGTTTGACATATCTTTTGATAAAATATTCAATAAGCAATTATTTTTGTGTATTAAATACAAAGGTGATGAATATACCGTGTGCACAAAAAATGTTTCTAAATGACGAGTTTTTCAATAAAATGCGTCAATAAAAGAAAAATGATCTCTATGCTTATCATGTATAAATTTTTTCAAGTTCGCATTTGTGCAAAGAAGTAGATTTTATACCTCCAGTTAATTAGTTAATTCAACTTTGACAGTTATTGATGACCAATTTAACCAAAAATTTAACGAAATAAGTTCTTGTTAATATCTTTCTTTTTCTTAAGATACTTATTGACGTGTCTTTCTGTTAGTTTTCAATGTCATGTTTAATTATGAATGATAACACTTATAAAATAATGATAAAAGAATATATTCTATATATTCAAATAATATCTAAATAGCTATGAAAAAAAAACAACATACTTTTTCTTTATATAAAAAAATTCATTTCTAAAGATCTTCATCAAGAAGAAACATAGAAAGAGAAAATTGATGTTAATAATTAAAAGTGCTTCGAAAAAAAAAATACATTGAAAGTAACAGTTTAACAGAATATCCGTTACAGTCATTAATAAATGGCGAATATCAATGCTGATTGCATAGACAATAGTTTAATGTGTTGATAGTAACCTGCATTACATTTTTTTGTTTTCAATTGTTTTATTGTTGATTTTTATCATGTTCTCAATTTGTTTTTGTGATTAAAGAAAGGAAAAATGGATATTTGTTTGAAAATAACCAATAGATGTATATGGTGTTTAAAATCTCAATTGTCAGAAAACAAAATGATCATTGTCACTATTGCTTTATCACATCGAATAAGTTCATTTTTTTTGTTTGGAAGATACATATGATAAGTTTTTATTTATAATTCAAATAGTTAATATATTATACTCTTCAAAGATTATATCTAAGTAATATTTTTAGTGAAATGATAAGAATATGAAAATAGTAACAGTTTAGCATAAAATGTAAATGAATCTTTATGATTTATTTCAAAAAAGTTTATATTTCAGATTTATATATTAAGCTTTTACGTTCTTTCGAATTAAATAATTTAGTTATTTCGGCCATTGATCTGTCTTTTTAGATAATGATCTTCATGAATCATATAAATTGCAATTGATATTGGATAATATAGCATATCATATACATCTTTTTATACAGAAAAAGAAAATCTATGGTTTTGTGTAAAAATATTAAATATTCTTTTTAAAATATTCGATAGCATCTTGAACAGCTTTTTCACTTTGTTGATTAACTTGTGGAGAACCATCTGGTCGAACAATAAAACCATGAACAGTACCAGGATATTTGAGAAATGTTCCAAAACCACTTGTAGCTAATTCTTTTTCAAAATATTCTTCAATATCAGGTGTAAAAATATGATCAGTTTCTGCACATAAAAAGAGAATAGGTCGTCGTATTTGTTTAGCTTCTTCTTTCACTAACATTGATGGATGTCCAACTATGGCTGCTTTTATTGTTGATGATAATTCAGGATGTGTTATTAAATAAACTACTACTTTAGCACCATAACAAAAACCTATTACCTAAAATAAAATAAAATAAAATAAAAACTAAAACTATTTAGTTTCTAAAAGATAAATTTTCAATTTTACTTGAATTGATTCATAATGTCCTTTAATAGTTGAAATAAATTTATCTGCAATTTCACATGCCTCAGTTGTCGGATGTCTTTTTAGCCAATCAGGTAACAAATCTCTATAATTGGGTATAGTAGGATTCATTGAATCTCCATGAAAATAATCAGGTATAAGAACTGTTGTACCAGTATCATTAGCAAAACGATCTGCTAATTTTCGGGTATTAATAAAAGTATAACCAAATATATCAGTAAATAAAACAATAGCCGATTTTCCTTGACCTGTTTTATAAATATTTACTCCTGCGACTTGTTCTTCATGACCTTGAGGTTGATGAGTTTGGTTTGCACCAGGATCAGCACAATGTAAACTATCCATTATAGTTAAAGAAAATAATCTTTAATATAAAAAAAACAATAAAAATGCTATACTATCTTATAATGTCTTTACAAAACACAACGCCGTGATGATTATGATTGACTTTATAGATAGTAAACCGAGCAAACATGATATTTACATAATTGTCTGTTCATTATTTTTTTTTCTATTATCTACCAGTAATTTTTACAAGCATCCAGATGACGCTCGTACTCCGTATAGAATAACAAATTTCAATCGAAATTGTCTTCAGATATAGTTAAGCTCAAGACACTAATCATGCTATTTTTTTTTGGTTAAACATATATTACTTTATCAAAGTCGTTAGCATTCATTTTAAACATTGAATTATATCATAACATTACAGAAATCGAAACAAATAAGAAAACTTTCATTCGGATTCGATTCGACTCGCAATGCTGCCGGGAAAGTATATCCTTATTTTCGTATATGTTACACTTACTACTTACTTTCTAATTTTTTTGTTTTAGCAAGCCACTTATATTTCTATTCCCTTATTTAAAACAAAAAAAAGTATAATAGAAATAATTAGATTTTATACAATAGAATTACTACTCATAAACGTTAGATATTAATGAAATAGAAAAAAAATAATATAAATGACGCTTGAAAGCTCTGAATTTTATACACTGATTGTATCTATCAAGATTAGACGAACGAAAACTAATCGCTACAAAAAATTAGCTGAAAAGTTTGATACTAGAAGTAATTATTACAGTTTGTTTCAATAGAGAACTTTATTTTAAATAAATAAGTTAAACAGATATAAAATAAATAATAAATAGAAATTATTCGACAATCTCGAGATTATTAAAAATATGAATTGTTTTTTTTTCTCCTGATATATGCAGATCGTGAAAAGTTAAAATATATTTCCATTATTAAACTTTTCATACCAAAAGGTTGTTATGTAATTATAAATAAATAGTTATTGAAAGTATTTCACCTATTAAAGAATCTTTCAATTATAGCGTACGTCTGCATGTTTTAATTACATATTCGCAACGAGCACTTCTGTTCACAAAAAATAGACGGACTTGATTATAACTTCTAAACTGTTTATTCTTTTCATTAACTATATGTACATCTTATTTGAGTCACTTATGAGCTTCACGTAATGTTATTAGGTCAATTTAATTCTTGTCAAATGCGCATTGAAACCTGAAAGTTCAAGCTTTTATTCTTTTGTTCCAAATTTCTTGACTATTTTTCATAGCAAACTATTTTCGTTCTGTCTTTTTTTTTTTGGTTTTATCACGCTCAACTGTTACTAAATGTCTATCCACACAGGATAATGAGAACTGTCGTCCAGTAGAAGACTGTAATATGAAAATTAATATTTTATCTTGCTTTTTTTTAATAAGATAACCGAGTATCTGTATTTTATTCGTACTTATCAAACTGTGATTGAATATATTCCAACTTCTTCTGTTTTTTTATTTGATTTGATTTTTTCGATATGTTTATGATCCAGAAAACATATGGAATAAGAGCATTTCAATTCGATTCGGCCTACTTTTCAAATATTGAATTCGAATTCGGTTTCTGTAACATTACAATATTATTTAATAAAGTAACACATTTCTAATGATTTCTGTTAAATTGATTCTCAATGTGTACTTTGTGATTTATGATAAGAACAATTCTTGAACAAAAGTTTCAGAGTATACATTACATTTAGTTTCACTCATGTATGGTAACTACGTGCAGTGGACAAAACAATTGGAGCGAATAAAGTATGAGAAAATCAATAGTGAAAAAATAATTAAATCTAGTCTAATCAAAAATTTTAATTGAACATCGAATGATAGATAATTCTGGAGAAGTATATAATCAAAATAATGATTTAAAGTTGAAAAATGACGTGCAATACTGATATAACAGTTGAAAAAAATGTTGAAATTACTATTTTCTAGACAAAAAAAAAGAAATTTCTTCTCAATGCTATAGTGTTTCCAGTAAAAAAACACAATATCATATCCAAAATCAAAATAAGAAATTGTATTAAATCATAAATATTACTGTATTTGCGTATGGAGAACATGTATTGAGATTTTTCTCTTCATGATTTCCTCTTTGTCTAGCTATTGAAAACAGAAACATGCTTTTTGGAGATTTACATGGTTTCTTCTGATTGTTTATTGAAACATAATTCACAAAAAAAAGAAATACATTTACATTAGAACGCAAGTCTATATTTGACTTGTTTAAGAAAAATGTCTCTGGTGATATGAAAACCGCTTACACGTATTCTAAAGTTTGGATCTCATCGACGAATGATGCAAATAGTGTTTTGATCGAAGCTTTTCAATGGTTGGTTCCAATGACTTATAGAGTGGTCCATTTTCGTTTCCGATGAGATTTTCGGCTACTCGAGCTATATGTTCATCCAATGCATGCTCTCCATCATCCCAAATATAAGGACGCTTTCTGTCAATAGGTACATTTATAATCAATCGAACAGCTTCATAAACACGTCGACTATTTTCCGAGAGTAATGGACGAGCATCATAATTGGTTTCTTTCTCAATAATATTGGCTCGTAAATCAAGTGCTTGAACACAAACAAGAAGACAAATACTCAAATGTTGACACAATGTAGAAATTGATTGACGAGCGAGACATGCAGACATTTGTCCCATTGAATTGATATTTTGATTGTACTGTTCAGCGTGTGTGGGGAATTTATCGGTTATAGATGTACCAAGAAAAAGCAAAACAGGCATAATTGAATTACCACAAATTTGAAGAGCTTTGACACCAATATTTACTTGACGAGCACGATTACCAACTAAACAAGCAGGTAGACCATTGTTAAACTCAGGTGTAACCAACTGGGCGACCTGTACATCCAGATGTTTGGCCATAAGACCAATAACTTGTCGTAGTCGATCCATAGCTAAGGCCACATGCTCACCAAGAAAATTACCACCACCTAGAAATGTTAATAAAACCTTGCTTAAAACCTCCCAATATGATAGACTGATTAAGTATTTAAAGTAACTTGATTGTTAACAAAAATGATATGTACTATGAATCAAAATATTGTTGGACTAAGTCTATGAGAATTTTATTTCAAAATGAATTTTAGACAAAAAAAATCACACCGATTTTTTCCAAACAACAGAAACTTAGAGAATCTAGCAAAAGAAACCTGCTTATCGACAGAAGACGGAAGAAGAGGATCTTACTATGCATAAAAGATACACATATCTCACTCATCCAAACATAATGACACCATTATTTACTTAACGGTACATTTCGAATAAGTCGTTACTGTGCATACATCTGCAGAGTTATCATATTTTATACTTTATCGACGACGGGCCTCTTTGGTCTTTAGAGTTATCTATTATTATATTGTTATATACTCTCTTTTTTTGAATGGTGAGACCAGTAAGGTTTTAGAGTTATTTACCATAGTAAATAATTCTAAAGATCCCTTAACCCTCCCATTTCTATTTGAAATCGAACGCTGGTTTTGTTCTTTAGATTCAGATTGAAATAAAATAGACTATTGTATGACTGGACTAGAACGAATACATTCCTTTGAGATAAAATGAATATGAGTCAAAATCAAAACTTTAATACAAATGAATGCAACTTCTATTTAGGATGTGAATAGAAAATCTGAAACTGTGAAAATAATTGTAAACGAATATTTACATATAATATTTATTCGATAAAGAACTTTTTCTGGCATACAGAGCATTTCGAAAGTCCCCCCCCCCCCCCCCTACGCAATATAATTTTGAATATTTTCACTGTATATTATCAAACTAACTTACTCTTTCTTAATTATAGGGAAAATTTTTAAATTTAATTCGTTCGAAACAACTTAATAGATAGTACTTTGAAGATCGAAGTAGAAATAATGACACAGTGCGAAGCCAGCCGATATATTAGTCTTTCAGTCAACCAGTAGAAAACAATACTGGTTTTGTAAACAGTTTATCAGAAAGAAACTTTCTCAAATAGTGAATAGACTACTGTTTAGTCACTACAAAAGTAACTTGTTCTGTCATATGCGTTTATTTATGAGGCATCTTGTTGCTACACGTAGGACGTTTTAACTAGAGTTCTATGAAATAATTTCACTAATAAATACATAAGTTAAACTTGGTTTCGTTTGTTAACTGTTGAGTGAAATTGCTATTTCAAAAGCAGTAAGATGATTCTTTAGAAAACGTATCATGATTACAACAATTTTACTCAAAGTGTTTCAAAATTTCATAATTAGTAGAATTAAATATTCTGACATCAAAACTTCTCTTCAAAACTTTTCCAAATGATGTCTTGGTAAATTTCTATCCCTGATTGTAACAATTTCCCTAGCCATAATCTGATTTTAAGGATTTTCTTATTTTTGATGATAAAAGACTATAATTTTCAAAGCAGATACTAATCAATAAGATAAATGTTTCCTTACGCGAAAACTTTTTTTCTCCAACATTTCTTTTGGATTGAAAAATTATCCAGAAAACTGGATTTCTCTCAGATTTTGGAAGTCTGCTTTCTTCGACAAGGAACACTATTTGATTATCAATACTATATGAGTTAGAGTTATCTTTAAATGTTCAATCGAACATTTGAATTTTCAAATGTGTACAGCTAAAATTGGTAGTGGAGTATGAAGAATTAAGGAGCTGATTTTGATTTTACCTAAACTTTTGAACTCTACTGAGAAAAAAATAAGGATTCTAGTGAGAGGAAAACTTTTTATTTAGGATCTTCTTGACCTAGGCTATAATAAAAATTATTCACTTTCATGGTCAGTGAGTTTTAAAGTTTTGGGAAAAACCTAGTATATTTCCTTCTCAAAAAAAAAACCATTGATAGTAAAAGTGCTGGGCTAATACTGAAATATCACTTCTCTGATAGATTTGTGAAAATAGATTATGAATATTTACTGTTATCCTCACGACAGTTCTTACTTCTTCTCAATAGGAAGTTCACAAGTTCAGGTAAAAATCAAAATCGGCTATTAAAATCCTCATACTCAGCGATCAACTTTAGCTTTAAATCTTTAAAAATTCAAATATTCGATAGAACATTTAAAGATAACTCTAAAGCACACAATATTGATGATCAAATCATGTTCCTCGCCGAAGAAATCAGGCTCGCAAACCCTCAGGAAAAAAAAAACAATTTTCTAGAGAACTTTTCAATTCAAACGAAATGTTGGAGGAAAAAGTTTTCTTTTAAGAAAATGTTTATCTTATTGATTAGTATCTGTTCTGAAAGTCAGAGTCTTCTATCATTTAAAATAACAAAATCTCAGAAAGCAGACTTCGGCTAGGAAGGTTTATACAATCGATAGTGGAAAACTAGCAAGACATCATTGTAAAAAGTTTTGAAGGTAAATTTTAACGTCAGAACATTAAGGTCTATTACTTCTGAACGTTTGAAACACTTATCTAATATTATTAAAGTCAGTGGAACTTACAGTAAACTTTGCCAGTATTGGTATCAATCAAAGGATTGTCATTGGCTGAATTCATTTCGATTTCAATTATTTGTGTAATGTCATACATTGTTTCGACTATGGGACCAAGAAATTGTGGACAGCATCGCAAAGAATATCGATCCTGAACAAGTGCCTCACCACTACTCTTGGTTAATTTTCCATCGAGTGCATCATAGATCATTGTGGAGCCGTCGATCAGTTCAAGTAAAATGTCTGCTACATCAATCTGGAATCGTCATATGCAAAATGCATACAAATTGATATCAATAATTCTCTTAGTTTTCTTTCATTTACTATACTATTTCAAAAATTCACAAGTCTTCTATTTTGTATTTCTATCAAGATTTGATTACTTGAGCCAAGTGTCTAGTTTTAACTTGATTTATTTTTCATCGTAATAAAAATTTTGAAAAATATCGTAAATCAATGAATAAATCTTTTTCACACTCATATTTCACTAACAGGATAGCAAATACTAAATCTCGTTGTCATGAAAATGATTTGAGATTGAAAACATTTATCAAATTTTCAAAGGTACTCAATACTGAATGAAAATGCTTTGCATTCAAGTTGATAACTTAATTGCATAGCTGAGACTTCACGTAATTATTAATTTTTATCCGTTATCATCGCTGTCGAACAGCAGTATGTTTTAGATGAAGTAAGACGCAAGTTAATGGCTTTTGAACCGATCAGAATCAGACTTTGAGATGACATTTAAGAAAATATTCAGAACTAGAACAATTCTATCTGGTGAACTAATAATGATTTTCACATACCTGTCCATAATGACCTTTAATCTTATGAAGAAATGGATGAAACGGCTGGTTACTGGCAGTAAGTGCTTGCAAAGCCATCGCGTGAACGTGAAGTGTAACAGCCATCAGTATGTAAAAATCATAGCAAGCATGTGCCGCTGAAGCCGTCATCACGCTAGTTCCGTTTAACATGGCCAGGCCTTCTTTTGCATTATATAATTCAGGTTTGAGTTCGAGTCGTGCCAATGCTTCAGGTGCACTGATCTTTTCACCTTGAAAATCTACTTGTACAGTTTCATCTACACCAGATATGGCTGCAGCGATATACGACATAGGTATGAGATCACCCGATGCTCCTATAGATCCGAATTCAGGTACGAGAGGTGTGACGTCTTTGCGCAAGAAAAGAACAAGTCGCTCGTCCCACTGTCGACGGATACCTGAGGCACCAATTAAATGAGCATTGGCTCGCAAAAGCATAGCTCCGCGAATCGATTCTAGTGGCATAATCGAGCCAGCACCAGCTTTGTGGGCACGAACTAAATTATTTTGTAGTTCAACAGCAAATTCACTTGATACTACACGATTGGCGAGACCTCCGAAGAGTGTTGTAACACCGTAGAGCGGTAAAGAGGCTTTTACGACATTGTCAATAATATTAACTGATTGTGCCATTCGATTGCATACAACATCGTCGTGAGATAATTCCACTGGATGATGATGACGAGCAACTTTTATGAAATCTTGTATAGTAAGATTTTCACCACGAATAGTAATCGACTTCCGTGTGATATGTTCGTTCGTTTTGGTTGTTGTTATTTCATTAGTAAATAAATTTTGGGAGTGATAGTTTGATTTGCTCATAATTCTATTTAGAATTTATAATTAGGCAGAAATAGATAAACGAATAAACTATCAACAGAAAACCTATCAATAAATATCGAAACCCGATTTTCTTTTTGTCTCTTTTTTTTTCTTTCTTTGATCTAGGACGCTCAAGATACTATGATATTTTTTATTTTAATCCTTTCAATCGTGACATTCTCTTGCGTTCTGCACGCACACGAAGGAAAATAGTTGAATCTCTATGTCTTGTGTTTTGTTGTTACAATCAGCTGCGTTTAAAATCTAGCATCATTATTAATAGTCATTGAGAACGATTTTTCTCGAAACAGTAATTCATAATCTGGTGTTTCACCGTATATATAGAAGTATTTTATAAATAAATTTTTCAAGAGAAGTAAAATATCTTTTTGATTATGCTGCATGGCACAGCACTGCATGTAGGTGAGAACACAGGATTGAACCATAAAAGTGCTTCTCTGTTGAGAAAAATTCAGATGCAAAGGTTTTTTGTATACACGATGAAATACAAGGTTAAGGAAGCCTCTTGAAACACATCGTATGATATCCATCGTCTACGAAGACGACAGAACGCTAAATATAACTTTTGCGTTCTGCAGGTTATCTACTAGATCACATGCAAGGCTGAAAGGGTAAACGTGATTTAAAAAGAAATATTGTAGTTCAAATTAAAACGGCGATCATTAGAATTATGCTGAATTCGATGATACTATATAACATAAACATCTTGCATTTTCTATTGATGATACTCTCCAATTATATTGTCTTTCAGCATTCGTACATTAATTAGTACTATGCAATAGTGAACATATGCTCTACATTATCTTATTCTGAACATATTTCACCAATTAAACGAGAAAGTATATGATATATATTTTCACTGAATTCAGATGAATTAGAAAGACTATCATTTCCATTCGTATTTAAAAAGATTTCTGTATCGATTAAACACAAAATCTTCGTGTCATGAAGAAGGAGATTCCACCATTTTTTCAAAATTTAGTTTGAAATGAAAAAAACCTATAGATTCATTTGTACACGACTATATTTTCGAACTTTATGATCATCGACATGATGGACTTGTGCATATAAAATTTCAAGAAACTGAGTATACAACGAATTTCGTAAGGTTCTTCGCTTCATTTCTGATATCCCCAAAACAGCTCTAGTATGCTAAAAATATTATAAAGGTCGAATCAATCTTCTTCAGTGATGTAGATAATAAACTTCTAACAGAATCGAATCTTGTTAAGAATCATCAATGTGATTACTTTCTCTCTGATCAAATTCAATTCGACTTACTTGCTTTTAGTTTTTGTTCGAGTGAAAGGCGTGAGGGCAACAGACAAGAGATAAAAATAGACAGCAAATAAGATTTTAAATGAGTCAAGTGTAGTGAAGGCGAACGGTTGATTTCTTTTTCGTACTATTAAAAGAGACAAATGTATGTAAACATGAGAAAATAATCATAGTTGTTATCATTTAGTTGTCTTGAATCACTTTCTATATTTAACTGTCATCTCACGACGAATAAAAAAAATGTATATTTTCTACTTGAATATCAAACTGCTGTTGTACACCCAAAGGGTGTGAGAAATATATATACACATATATATGGCGTTTTCCATAGTTTTTATAGCGATTATGATAACCACTCGTAGATCCTTAGTCTTCAATCCTCATCAACACGCAATGACCTTGTCTGGACAGTATATTTTTATTCACTATTCATAGATGCAATGTTGAAACTTTAATTGAAACATATTCGACACGAAAGAAAAATTAAATCAAGATATTACAGAAATATATGTTTGCATAATATAAATGAAATACAAGGAGTTTAAGTCATTTTTTACACTCTCACTATCTCTACCGTCGAAGAATTTGTGAGACAATTGTAAATATATTAATTACACAGAACTTAACGACTATATTTCAATACTACGAATACTTTGAAAATCTCTAAACGATTCAGATATTTTGGCTGAAAAACTGGCCAAATTAACTATACAGATTCTTGCCCAAACTACCTCTCTTAATTGCTCTCCCATCACTCTTTCTTTCTTCTTTATTATTCTCAATCCGAACGTCCAAAACAAAAAAGAAATTAAGCACACAAAGAAAAAGAACATGCATGTGAAAAAAGCATATTGTATTTATTTCTTTGAACATTCCTTTTCTTCTCTCATGTCAATACATGCCGATGATGTTTTTTCTTCTCTTAGAGAGCGATGAGTCGAAAATACAATGGACGAACAGAGAAAAGAAAAGAAAGGAAAAAGAAAAGGTTTTCAAATGACTTAAGCAAAGACAAAACAGAACAATACTGAGCATATATCATGACCATTGATTATGACAACCTCATTTTGGGTTTCTCATAACTCATTAATTGTGAAAGAATAGTATTTATATGCTATCATCAACTAACACAAGGTCTATTGATCGACAAGCATTAAGGAAGATCATATTGAATTGTTTTTAAATTATTTACTTTTTCTTCCTATTGTATTTTTATTTATTTTTAAAATTTATGATATTTCGTCAAATGAAGTTGACTTCATCAGACTACAATGATATGCATATAAAATTTGTGCATCCAACAATATTTTCTATTTTAGTTTCTTTTTACTATTTATTGATAGTGCAACGAACGAAGAAAAAATTCAAAAAAAAAAGTGAAACTTCGTCAAGTGTCATCGTCTTGTTCGTTTCACTATCAATAAATAGTAAAAGGAAAGTAAAATAGAAAATAATGTTGGATGCACAAATCTTATATGTATACTATTGTATAGTCTGATGAAGTCAAATTCGTTTGACGAAACTTTATAAATTTTAAAAATAAATAAAAATACAATAGGAAGAGAAAATAAATAATTTAAAAACAACTCGAAATCTATTGATTGTTAAATTTCTTACTTTTCGACAGAAATAAAATACAGAATAGAAAAATATACTGAACTGATTAGGTAAGGTTCAACACATGTAAAACAAACAACAAAAAAACTAATTTTAATCGATTTTATCGGTTTCAATTGCTACGCCTATAAAACACGTTTTTCTTCAATCTTAACTTCAGTGGCGGATCCAGGATTTTCGAGTATGTTGTATCTCAGTCTCAGAGCATGGGATGCAGATGAAACTTATCGAGGATGATTTTGAAACCAAATGATGAGTTTCTACCAAAAACATTTTTCGATTGAAGTTTTCGAAAAAAAAACTTATTTTCTAAACTGCCGCCCCCTCCCCCTTATTTTTTTGCTTTTCATAGTGTGGCTTTTTTTAGAATTTAATAGTAATATACATTGAATATCATCGACAGATTTCAAATTTCTCTTAAAAACATGCATCCGTCCAGCAGTCATAACGATTTTAATTATTGACATAAAACGTAAAATTTTTCTCAAAAATTAAAAACATTATAACTCCTGGACGGATGCATTTTTTTAAAAGAAATTTGAAATCTGTCGATGAAATTCGATGTAGATTACTATTAAATTCTAAAAAATGTCACACTATGAAAAGCAAAAAAAATTAGGGGAGGGACGGGGTCAACACTTTAAAAAATGATTTTTTTTCGCAAACTTCAATCGCAAAAATTTTTTGGTAAAAACTCATCATTGGATTCCAATATCATCCTCCACAGGTGTCATCTGAATCCCATGCTCCGAAACTAAGATACAACATACTCGAAAGTCTTGGATCTGCCACTGTTTAATTTAGAAACTTCAATTTTTGATTCTTTTTTTTCTGACTCCTCCCGTCGACAGATGGTAAATATAGTACTAGGCCTATCTTTCATACACTTCCACATACGACACCACTTGATACTTACCCGTGTAAGCCAAAACCTCGATAAATCAGATTAAAATCGATTAAGATTTGATAGATGTGATGCACTATGAGGAGCACCTTATTCACAAAAAGCTTGTTGACTCGAGCGAAAAAAAGCAATGAAGCATAAAACAATGACCAGACGAAAGAACAAAACGATTCATTATCGCTTCTTCAGTCACATGTCTTGACTAACATAATACAAGGTTGATTATATTGTCAAAAAAAATGGGTCAGAACGATCAAGGCTTGCAACACGATCTAACTAAGTTGGATTAGACAAAAGAACACTGACTCATGATGTTGTTTTTTCTTCCAAAATACAGAAAATGGAAGGTAGTTAATAATGATTTTTATGAGTTCAATTGAGTTTGATTATTTTGTTTTTAAAGTTAAATCTGAACTTCTTGCTTATTTGTTTCAAGTACTTTGATGAAAGTCTTTTTGATTGAATTATATGATCGAGATAGATAAATCAGATTTGTTTATAATGTTCTATAATATTTTATAGAACAACAAAATGCTGTCTAATTTGTACAATTTGAGAGATTTTATAAACTTCTCTTTTTTTTTTGTTTCATCAATGGGCATATGAACAAACACAAGAGTATATTTCGACGTACAAAACAAAACTTTATACTAAATGTGATACAAATATTTTTCATCAATGCTAGTTTGATAGCTTCAACACAGCGCTAGTAATCGGAAAGACTTTGTATCAATTTGCAGAATTTTGCTAAAGAAATTCAATTCGTATAAAGAAAACATATCTTAGCAAAGCAGCTTAAATGGATTCTGGTAATCGATGAAACATCTTACGTTAAGCAAAAACGAGATTATTCACTCTTCTGTTACATTGTAACCATTTATGAGTAGTTCTGCATATTATAATCCAGAATAGTATGCATTGAAACCTCACTCTTACTTGTTTAGAAATGATTTATTTATCATATTTTTATTAGATAATCATAAAATTCCCGTGTAAAAACAAAAAAAAGCCTGATTTTAATTCGATTTTAATGACTTTTAATAATCACCACGTTACTATTTTAAGGATCGTAAAAAAACCGAATCTTACTCATGAATACCCAGTGAAAAATAATCATGGAAAAAAACGGAAGTAAACGCATTCAGCAAAACATGAAAAGTTACCTTTCCCATGAAGAACA